ATATAAACTTGTAGGAATTTTTGTGATAAATTGGTGATAGTGTTGGCTCTAAAACTTTCACAGTAAATCCCTAACATTATTAGGTGATCACTGTAATTTTTGTAGCTCCATAATAATTAGTTTGCTAAGGTAGCTAAATGAGCCATAGTTCAAAAATATATATTTAAGCAATAAAATGCCGAAACACCTTGGGATTTTAAAACTAGAACATTTTGCAGGAAACAATGTCTTATTTGACAACGTAGATACGCAGGCTAGTACGTTAGTCATTAAAGCTAGCTCGTTAGCTTGCGGAGCGTAATCATATTTAGAGTTGTAGTTGCCGTTGATTATTTACATCTCTGCGTTGCATCAACGTATATCATAATAGAAACAACGATGGATCGTGTAGTCGACTGAGGTAGCGGAAAAGATGGTGCCTTGATGATCGTGTCACCATGATGAAATGCTAACTTTTGGTTATATCTTACCCAGGCAGGCCCCGGTGCATAATCCCTATTATTCTGCACTTTATCTTATGCTTGTGCATTTAGTTTTAAAGAGTTGAATGAAAACCACTTGCATATATATATCCTTATCCTATGAGTACTGCTAGTATGTCAGGACCGTGTAGATTGCTATGTTATAGGATCCGGTAGAAGTCGAGTGATACCTATCACTCGCGAGAGATAGGAAAAATATTATTGTTGTTATTATATTACTATCACATGGAATATATATGAATGATAATTGGAGACCGGGCGGAATGGTACTTTAGATCTGAACTTGGTTAGGTATTCGAGCGAGGCTCGGATTGCACTTGTTCCGCTTGTGTCGGTTAAGGACCATCCGTTGTTGTGGATTTTAGTCAGGTCACAGACTTATTATCTTGAGCACATACTTGCTTATGGGAGCGGAAAGGCTCGTTGCTCTCTTGTCTTGGGTTCTGGCTCTTTCCGGACCGACTGATTGTAGGCGGGGATGGTGGAGGTCTAAGCACCACACTGAGTCCGAGTCTCAGAAGTGGGGGCTTGAAGTCCAAGTTTGGACGGGGACCTGGACCCCTTGACAGTAGAGTGGTGGGTTGGTCTTGCTTGTGCCTGGGGTACAAGCGGGGCGTATGTTTCGGGGTACCCAGCTGGGATACATTGGTTCACGAATTGCCGTGTGATACGGTACGACTTGGTTATGGTCTAGCACCGTAGTAAGAACTAGAATATGAAAGATGGTAAAATGGTTTTGATTGCTTACCACCTGCTTGAAAGTAGCATATAGTTAGTTAATAAACTAATGATGACTGCTAATAAAATTAAATATAAGGACGCACGTTTAGTAATGCTTCAGCAGATACAACAACCCATAAGCCAAATAAGCCTTGCATATCCTTGGAGTCTTTTATTTTTCTCCTGTCGGGTAAGTCTTGCTGAGTACAATTGAGTACTCAGGGTTTTATTCCCCCTGTTGTAGGTGATAGAAGGATACGTAGAGCTAACCCTTGTGTGTGGAAATCTCCTGGTGGGCTCAGAGATGATTCCTTTCACGCTTCGACCATAGTGATTATTTATAACCCTTACTAAAGGTTTTTATAAGAAAAGATATAAAATCTGTTAGCATCTCTTGTATATAAATGTCTACTATGTTAATGCTCCACCATATCCATAAATTAATCCTGCTTCCTCTGTAACTCTGATAACATTGTTCTATTCCGCTGTTATAATTAATTGAGGTAATATTCTGGTACTGTAAGAAATGACTTAAGAATGTTGTAAGCTTTATTCTGCGTAGTTTAGTGTCCTCTCTTGGGTACTTAGTGTCTAATGGAAGACAAGTACTCCTGGGAGGCATTAGATTAGACGGTTCTGCCACAATGTCAAGCCTGCAGAAGATGACGGTGAGCCTGCATGCGTGGAGCGTCACCGCGGCGGCCTCCCTAGGCTCGCCGTCCCGTGTGGTGAGCACCAGGGTGAGGCCATGCTTGGCTAGGTGCGTGGCCAGCGCATGGCGCCGATGCCCCAGTTCGTGGCCCCATGTCCGGCGAGCGCACGAGTGCAAGCCACCGTGGCCGGCGCCTGGCCCGACGTGCCCGCCTAGGCGGCGGCCCTTTCCCCTCCACTGGCCGCCGCCGCGTGAGGGAGACGACCAATTGTAGTCGGAGGTAGAACATGTCTATAGTAGCAAGGTGCTTTTTGTGAAAAATCTATCCTAGTTAGCGCCTCCTGAAGGGGTATGGACCACCACTTGACAAGTTTAGGGGGTCAGATTTCGTGAACCTTAGTGGCACAATGCTACAAGTATAAGGACCGCCAGTGTATTTTACTCTAAATTTTACTATGCATCTAGACATAAGTATATATATATATCTAGACTAGATGCATAGTAAAAGATGTCTATTTAGAAAGTGAAAACGACCAATAATTTAGGACCTGTTTGGTGCGGCTCCTGCACTGCTCTGGCTCCGGCTCCGGCAGTGGAGCCGCACCAAACGATGCAGGTTGTAGGAGCGCTTCCAGCATGGAATGAGTGAGGAGGAGCCGTTTTCTCGTACGGCAGGCGAAGCCACGATTTCGGGCTTAGGCAAAAGGGCTCCGGCTCCGGCACGGGAGCACGCGGAGCGGAGCCGCACCAAACAGGTTCTTAGAACGGATAGTATTAGACAGGGGACACACCGGGTGAAAGACTATTATGGCACATATAGTGCCTGTTTAGCATAGCTCCCAGGTGCTCCGGCTCCTTCTGCTTGATTACTATGTAGGTCACTGTTCATGACCAAAAAGGCTTCGGCTCCGGTCAACACACCCATAAAATAAAGATGCCAAAGCACTACACATTTGGAGCTCCAGCGGCTCCTCCAAATTAGTGCTACAGTTGTGGAGCCGGAGCTGTATGATGAAGCCCCTCCAAAGTGAACTTCATAATTAAATCAAATACCTCATGTCTGACTTGGCAAACAATTTGAGAACTAATTAAGTATACTATATATTGCTTATCTATGTCTAGCCAATGAAAGGAACAAAATGATCACACACCTAGTCGTAAATACACAGTAACCACCAACCATATATCATGCATGCATCAGAAACACAGCTAAAAGCATGGAAGGATTATAGTATAATACTACAATAGTTAATGTCTTCAATTCCTAAGGTCAACCAATTAGCAAAACATATGACACAGACAGGTACTTTTGTATTAATGCTTAATCACAAATCTCTTTACCCTTTCTAGTGTATAATCCCCCCCCCCAAAAAAAAAAAGAAGAAATCTCTTCATGATGAAATAAAAGAAACAATCTGTTGATAGCAAAAATGTGCCGACTAGAGTAATGGACTTCCTTCTCAAGTTGATGGTGTCAAGACGTTGAAGAAAATTTTTGGAACATCAAAATCAGAGTCCAAATGAAGAATTGAAGAAACTGAGCACTGCCAGCCAACCCGGTTTTCCTCTTCACCGTCTGGCAAAGCTATTGGCCCGGAGAAAACTGGCTAGGCCAGCTTCCAGAACTAGCTAAGCCGGTTGTGTTGTTCTGAGTTTGATTTGTTAATTTTCAACTCGGTTTTAATCTATATTTTGCCGTGGGAAAACTTAGATTGCACGTTGGACATGCTTTTAACTGGGATAAGATCAACCCCTCTATATATATGAGGGGATCACGGTCTATTGAGAAATCCAACATCGTCATGAAACACATCTACTACTTCTTTTACCCTAACTTTTCCAATCCTTGTTGTTCGTCACCTCTCGACGAGATTTGGTGACGTTGTAGGTGGCCTTGCCGACCCTAGAGCAACCTCGTTGTGCCCCTCCCCTACAGGTCTTCCTAAGAGGTGTTCATGAGTCTATCGAGCGAGTAACGGGCGACAGATCGGCCCGACCAACTTGCTGGTCTGTCTCGCTGTTCTAGGGCGGTCTCGCTGAGTTTAAGGCCATGTGTGGCCTCAGGTGTGCTAGCTCTTACTAGTTTGTGACCCGATTTGGCGTCAACACAAACCTAAACTCGATCCGTGGTGGCCAGACAGCCCCCGATATTCCGGCTTAAGAAGAAGATTTTCTCACGCAGATCGAGAAAACCTCCGAACTCCTGCCCCACCCATACACAGTGGCACCACAGCTTCATGAGATGAGCCAGTCACAGATCTGTGCTTTGGATGTGGGGAAGACAAGGGAGTGTCCCCCCCACTTGGTCACTGCGGCCGAAGCCACAAATAAAGAGTGAGTCCCTTGGGACTCGAACTCTGACCACCCTAAGGGAGAGGTACTGAGCCTGCACTGACCATATATAGGCGATTTTTTATTAAGATGAAATTATCACCTAATTTGGAGTAAAAAAAACTCGATTCGTGGTGGCTTGACAGCCCTAGGTATTCAGGCTTAAGGAGAAGATCTTCTCACGTAGATCGAGAAAACCCTCGAATCCCTACCCACCCACACACAGCAGCACCGTAGCTTCGTGAGATAAGCTGGCCACATGCCATTGCTTTGGATGTGGAGCAGACGAGGAAGTTTTTTCCTACCCCAGTTGTTGTAGCCGAAGCCACGAGAGTGAATCCCTCAGTTCTCGAACTCTGACCACACCAGGGACGTACTGAGCCATGCACTGATCATTTGGTCAGCCAGCCGTTCCCTAATTTGGAGTTAAGGGAGGACTCAAGCAAATCTTGGTGTATTTTTGGATGCATGATCATATCTCGGACTCCCAACCAGTGAAACTTCACAATATCAATACCTCATGCCATTAAAATTCAAACAAGCAATCCATAGAGTTGCTAATCAGCTGCTAAAAATAAAGAAGCAATAAGGACCTTCTGGTTATTATTTATATTTTACAAAATATAAGCTCTTGATCTGCCTGCCTAGAAACTTAGATATATCTAAGATCCAAAGAAGAAACATGAGAACATGTTTATGCAAGTAATTTTACAAGACCTTATTAGTTACTACTCCATGTCCCTATACTTATTCTCCTATATACGCTATTAATTAGTCAAACCATGTTTCAGTGAAGTCAAGACGGACATTAGTCGTCACAAGACATTAGCTCTGGGACAGCTATCATCTGCAACCCATGTCGACATGGCATAGAGTATACGTTCCTTCCACCCTTGCAGAAGCCACTGCGGGTCCACATCAACCACAAAGTCCTTGTGGTAGCCATCCTTCACCTTCTTACTCAAATACTTCACCGTATTAGGATTCAGGGGCAGCTGCTTCAGTCCAGCACGGTGGCCTCGCACCTGCCATTGCTTATATGTCTCGGGACGCTCCACCCTTTCCGAGCCCTCGCAGGCAATGGCATTCAAGACGCAAGTCACGCAACCCCCCAGGATGTCCTGCTCAACCAGCAAGCGTTCTTCGTTGTCCCGTGGAGTCGTTGCATCCATGATGTCAAACATCGCTGAGTAGTAGTACAGCGCCTCCCGGAACCGCGTCACGAAGAACGGCGCATTGTACGAGCTGTTCTCGACGCAGAGGATGAACACATCAGGCCGCATCTTCTGGATGTTGCGGAGGACCATATCCCTAGGGCTTGTGTTGTCAATGTCGACGCCCTCGTCCATCAGCTTCCCGAAATGGAACAGGCCATTGACGATGAGCACCTCGTCAGGCTCGATGTCCAAGTCGTCGGCGCAAACCATCTCCCACTTCGACGCGACGACGCTGCGGAACCTGAACGGAACGCCACGCCGGCGAGCGAAGTCACTGAGCCGGCGCCCGGTCTCCTCGATCCGAGCAGCCGGACGAAACCCGGGCTGCGGCGAGTCGATGCTCGTGATCCTCACCTCCGGCGGCCCGCCGTCCCGAGCCTTCCACGCCTCCAGCAAAGGTGGCCAATGCAACAAACTGGCCTCTAGGACATCGTCCCGGTTGTGCCGGTTCTTGCTGCCCCTGCAATTGGCACTTGCCTCTTCCTTCACTTGGAGGACATGGCCTTGAGGAACATGGCCTTGTTTCCCCAATCCTGCTGGGCACTGAAGAATGCTGAGGCCAGCGCGGCGTGGTCACCATCTACGACTGCAAGCATGGTGCGGTTGGCCTTTTTCTCCATCTCCTCCGCGGCGGCGGTGTCACTCCGGACGCCAGAATACCCAAATTGCTCGGACGTGGTGCTGGCGTCCGTGGTGAGGTCGTCGGCCCCCACTCCCGCGTCGGAGCCGGAGGACACCGACACGGTGGGGCTGCCGTCCGAAGACGAATCCGCGGTGGCGTCGGAGAGGACCCGCGTGTACGATTCCTGGGCTTGCTGGAGCGCGGGGTGGTCCGGGTACTGGTAGAAGAACTCGTCGCCGATCCCCTCCTCCATGAGCATGCGCTCGATGAAGGGGAACACGAGGTCGTCGGAGGCCTGGTTCTTGCCCTCGCCATTGACGTTGGGGCGGGGCGTCGGGGGCAGGTTGAGGAAGATGGAGGGGGAGAAGGGCTCGGCAGGGTCAGCCACGAAATCCTCCGGCGAGGCGGCCATGGCTGTCAGGCTGGGTAGTCGGGTGGGATAGTAAAAAAATGGAAGGGGTTGCCGTTGGGGTGGACTGCTGGTGGGTGGATAAAAAAGAAATTTTTTTCCTTTTCTTTCTTTTTTTTGAGAGGGAAAAGCTGGGAAGGGCCGAGAAGTTCGTTCTGAAAAATTCTGATGCGACCTCGGCGGCTCCGAGATGAGGCCAAACGCAGCTGTGATGGAGAAGTCTGCTGCGACTCTTGTTTTGTCTTCTCCCGTCCGTGGACCCTCCGGAGACGCCAATTTGCAAACAAACAGTCTTCTTGTGCCAGGCTGCAGTATCAGGCACCTACTAGGCTGCTACATTGAAACAGAGTAATGGCTTCCTACAATTTTATTTATTTATTTTCTTACTACTAGAACGAAGCAAACACACAATGCACTGCACCTAATACATGATTAGTGGTCTGTCTCTGTCACCTGGCATGACAATATTCTGAATTTGTTCACGCTGGACATGCATAAGAAAGGTGGAATAATTTATAAAGTGGATGGATAGAGCAAAAGACAGACCAAATTGCACCTGCTTCAGATCTGCATATGCCAGCCTCTAATAATCAGACTGCCCACCTTTCCTCAGGTGTTCATACCCTGCTCCAAACATGGACTCTTGAACAAAACCATTACTGTACAAAACCTGAAAAGTAAATGAATAAACATGTAAGAGATGCATAGAGTGAGCTCATTACACCCTCCAAAAAAAAGATACGATTCTCTATGCTAGAACACTCGATAGAGGAAGAAATAGTCTTAAGAAAACATAGTGAGAAATGACTGAGGCAACCAAAAGACATCTCTGATCTGAAGTTTGTCCATGTTACTCTAGTTTGATCAAAAGCTCAAAAGTCTTACAGGAATCCTAGCAGGTTCAGCATTCTACGCACCAGTAAGCCAGTAACTCAGTATCAATATTGCAAACACTGCTACTCTGATGCCTAAAGTTCAAGGTTCATATGTGAATCCCAATAGGTAGAGAATCGTACTAAATTAACTGACAGACAATTTACAGATGTGCAATTGTGGGCCTCTTCCTCTGTCATAAAGGATCATTGCAAACTTACGATGACCATAAGGTGTCCATCTTTGTTCAGAAACTATCACAACTGTCATACTATGTATCATCACATATAAGCAGATGCCATCCAGCACCTCTCCTGAAATTGCAGAAACAGTTTCTTTGCAAGGCCCTTGTGTCTGTGCATGCTGCTATATCATTTGTACTCCCTATGCTTTGAGCAAAAGAATCAGTCAGATATGCTGAATAAGCCTGCCATAGTTTGATCCCCAAAATAAAAAGACAGAAACACCTCTTTCAACTGTACTTTGAATGAAAGAATTCAGAAAATATTCAGCAGAAACCGTCCCCAGGAATTTGAAACTAGGTAGAAAATGGGAAAAGTTTCTTTCAAAAAAAGAGAAAATGGGAAAAGTATGGTATCAGTAAGTTTGCATTTGAAACAATCACCAAAAAATAAAGCAGCAGAAATCACTACTCTGAATCTCTATATACTAATCCTGCTTCCAAAAGCGGGCTAACCATCGTGCCACGTCGCCCGTTAAGCCACAGGCCGTTCGATCTGGCGAACTTGCGACGGTGGCCGATCGATTGCGGATCAGTTTGGTCTGTACCCGTTTCGTTGTAAACCCGAAACCTCGAACCTTCTTGGGCTCATCCGTCGAAGCGAAGCGGCGGCACGGCGCCTGCAACCAGCGAGACATCCCGGCGCTGGCGCGCGAGGCCCCGGACGCTCGGTCCCGCCATCCCGGCGCTGGCGCGGGGCCCAGGCTGCCGGGCGGGCGGCTCCGCCCACCCCGGAGCGGGCGGCGGGCGCAGTACGGCGGCTGCGCCACCCGGCTCGTCCAACGGCTCCGACTCCCTTCCCATTGCCGCGGCTGCAGCCTCGTCCCTCACCTCCCGCGGCGTCCAAAATGGCGGGTGCTACCGCCAGGGCGTGACCTCCTCTTCGCCTTCCCTGCTGCCACCCCGCGCTTCGCCATTGCTCAGCGCGCAGCGTCGGCTTCCGCCGCCCGCCAAAGACAGCAGCAGAGAGTCCACAAAGACACCGAGAAGGCGTGCACTAGGTGCGCGTGGCCATCGGCAGGGGTGGATCTGGGCCCTCACGGAGGCGTTGCCACCTTGCCTGGCTCGAGGACGACGCTTCTCAATGCCGCAGCTATATGCCGCGGTGGTGTCCACGGCGCGTCCAAGGAGCCAAGGTACAGCCGTAGAGGACGTTCCCCCTGTGTGTGGTGTGCGACGGAGCTTCGACGAGGGAGTACCTGGCCACCTACATCGGCGTTAAGGTTCTCCAGCAGCACCCACCACCATCTTGGACTACAGACTGGATGTTAACACGATAGGGCCCATGTGGTATTCGACGAAATGCCCATGAGGTAAACAGCACATCCTTGTCTCCAATTCTCCATGTGTATGCCATAAATAAATGCTTGTCTGTGCCTGTGATCTTGTTTGCATTACTGTTTCTACCCAAACATCTTTGATAGTCACTGTGATGATGCATGGTGCGTCTGTCAAGAATGGTTAATCTGGGAATGTGAACAAACTGATCCTGCTGCTGCTTACCTATTTGCTTTTCTAATCAGTTCAGGTAGCAGTGATTACAACTAGCATGGGAGAGTAATCAAATATGTGATAGTATAAAAGAATCAGTAAATAAGAAATTGTTGATGGGTAGACTAGCTTCACATATTTAATACAGAGAGTTAGTATGGGGTGACGAACTGACGATAAGCAAGTGCGAGATGATGGAGCTTTCATGGTTGCTAGTCCTTTCGGCCTTGTTTGTAGGTGACAGAAGGATCAATAACATGGCTATAAGTTTTCTTTAATTGAATACCTCTGGAAATACTTGAATATGAATGAAAACAAGCTGATATTTTTCATAATTCTTTCATTTCAATGTTGCTCTGAGTGGTTATCCCCCTGGGTGAATTATCTTTTTTCTTAGTATCTACTTTTGAACTCAATACAATAAATAGCTATACTTGTACTTCTCCATGACCACGAGGGTATTCAGAATTAAATGCTGACACATCTTCTCACATTATGCAACTGCAGGTGAACTCTCATCTTACAACTATGGCCTACTTTCAACAGTTGATTGTAACACAATTCTAAGGTTTCCTTTCCCTAATTTATAACCTATTGCCTTCATATAACATAGTCCGAAGCAAATGCATGCTTATGTACATCATGTGAACTATGAGAAAAAAAAATTATACAATCTACGGTGCATTTCCCCCTTCTTTTGTGCAATTTACTTATATGATACAAAAAGTAGTGCTGACAACTAGCAGAGTTTATCAATTTTCAAAGTTAAAGAAATACCTTATGCTTTATTGGGTGCTTTCTCTGTAAGATATATGTTTATGTTTAGTGTAATATTATTTCCCTGTTTGCCTCTTCAACACACATGTTAGTAAACACCCTATTCGTTTGGGCTTTTTTGGCTTATAAGCCAAACAAGCCCAAACGAACAGAACGAAAGACTTTATTCCAATCTCAATAAGGGATCAGTTAATGCATATGCTAGAAAAGGCAGTGAGCATGATAGAAAAAGCAGTGAGGGGATGCTAGAAAAAGCAGTGATCAGAACGGTTTTGAGGCTGACAGTCAATATTAATCATTTTTCATAGATCATGCTTACATTATTATATATAGAGAAATCATCATGTAAATAACATCTATGTACAATCACGTACTCCTATGTGCTTTCTATATCAAGCGTCAAGGAACTGCACTCCATGCATGCACCATATGTATATGCTGATATCAACATTGTACGCATGATGTGTATTCAAATATCTTAGGATGGTAATTTGTAACATCTTAGTTCTAAGCTTTCCTACAGACTTTCACGTACAAATAGTGATGCATATAAAGGTTGTACCCCCAGAAAACATTGATCCTGTCGATACAATTAGGAAAATAAAAATGAGCTTAAGGCTGATAAAATGTCAACAGACTAATTCAAGTGTGATATATAATACAAAATATCTGAAGTATTAACTATTCATGGAAAACATTACCACTTCTTTCCAACCAATCAGGGCAGGGGCATCCCAGTCATTGCAAGACAAAACTTGAATTAGATTTCTCCATCAAAGTCTTAAAGCACTAGCATCCCAGTCAAAATCACCAATAACCATCTCAGAAAATCTCAGCACTTGCATTAAATTATTTTATTCTCAATTGGTAATAGTTTGAATACCTTTTGCCAAATAGTTCAGCACATGTTTCAATTTCATGGATAACAATTTTATGCTTTTTCAACCAGTTGTAGTCGCGGTTCACCTCTTGGATTATTTTCTAATGATGTGCACCTTTTTTTTTCAGCTGTCAAATTGATCTGTGCTCAGCTGTCCAATTGGTCCGCGCTGTGTGAACTGATATCTATTTTGCCTGCTCCAAGTGATGTTCAGCAATTATCTACTACGGTCCTTATTTAGTAACGTTTAGGTAAACCAGAGATGAAAGAAGACATACTAGATGGAGAATATATTTGCTTAGTTGTTGATTGATTTGGATATAGTGCCCGTTCTCACTTTCTGCATTACAATGGATCAGGAAGAAATAAAGCAAAGTTTCCAGCCTCACAGTCCTTGCTCCTAATCTCCAATGTTTTTTTTTTTTTGACTTCACATATACATGGATCTCGGTTCTACTCGTTCTCCATATAAATGAGATGAGAGGAGTATCCTTTTTTTCTCTTTGATTTAATCAACACTGGACTACTCAAAGATGGCGCGGCAACGCCGCACCCTGGGTTTTCTAGTAACAGAATAATAGGTGCGCTTTTAACGCTTAATCACGTGTCTGTTTACTCTTTCCAGGTGCAAGGGAATACAATGTTTCAACAAAAAGTGGACTTCACAACACAGGTACCACAAGTGGCCTTTCAGTTTGTCGTACATTTACACAGGTTCTGCAGCAACACACTAAGAACTAATCTAAGATCCTATGCAGATATAAGAAGCAACAAGAACACCCAAAGAAGCATCTACTATTACATTATTAGAAGACATTTTAATGCATCTACTGCATATATCCAAGCATCTTTAAATAAAGTGTGTTGAACCACATAACACAGAGGCATATATCTCTGTATCTTGTGATGAAAAGCCATTAAAGTCCTGAGATAGCATCATCTGAATTCTGAAACTCATGTCGACATGGCATAGAGTATGCATACCTTCCACCACAGCTGCTGAGCAGCTCATGAAGTTCATTGGTAAGACAGAAATTCAGAATCATATATGTATAGTTGCAATTATCGATATTTCTGTATGCAGTGAGAAAAGCAGCTAAAGTTCTGAGACAGGATTATCTGCAACCCATGTCGACATGGCATAGAGTATGCGTCCCTTCCATCCTTGCAGGAGCCAATTATGATCCGTATCAATGACAAAGTCCTTGTGATACTGAACCCTAACTTTGTCCCTCAAGGTCTTTACAATATCGGGATCCAAGGAAAGTTCGGAGAAGACAAATGCTGCAGTGGTGGCGTCTTACCGAGATTACTGACCTCAGTGCTTGCTAAAAAAATGTCCAGGGTACATCTTCTGCTGCTTTTTTGAGGAAAAAAAAATCAAACACCTGCTGATAAAATAGGTTAGTCTCTGTTTTGTCCTGTACAGCAGGGAAAAAAATTCTTTTGCTTGACCAAACTCGGCAGTATCAAATACCTGGCACTCTGAATTTGCGACTCTGTTGTATATGCATAATATAGTGACATGGATGAACAGAACAAAAAACAGACTAATCTTTACCTGCTTCTACCCGCTTCAATTGTCCCAATGTCAGGCAGTCATAATCAACTTGTCCACGTTTGGTCAGGTGCACTCCCCTGTTCCACACATGGACAGATGAACCAAATTGTTAGTGCCCCATACCTGGAAAAGAAATAAACAAGACATAGAACTGTTAGAATCCCGAACCGGCGAGAGGAAGAAGATGAACAACACGCGAACACAGTGGACACACGATGATCTATTGCTGCAAAGCGGCAGTGTTTCTGATTGTATTGCCATGCTTATATAAACTAATACAAGGAAACTAATCAAGATCTTTGAACACAATTACAATCAGTGATCATGCGCCTAAATAGCTACTGGTAAATATGGTAAGCTAATCTAGCACACAAGGATTACAATCAACAATCTCCTCCTAAGCCTTGCTGTGCTTACTATTTACATCAAACATGCCGATCTTTCCTCGAAGCTCCTGAAACCGAACGCGCCCGAGCGCTTTAGTGAGAATGTCACCCAGCTGCAGTTCAGTACCAACGAACTCGACGTCGATCAGCTTCCTGTCGCAGCACTCCCAGATGAAGTGGAACTTCACATCAATGTGCTTACTCCGGTCATGATGCACATGATTCTTCATCAATGAGATGGCGGACTTGTTGTCCACCTTCAGATTTGGCGCGAGAATTGCTCCTCCGACGAGCTCAGCCAGCAAGCGTGCCAGCCAAACCGCTTCGCACGCAGCTCCAGCAGCCGCGATGTATTCTGCTTGGCCGATTGCCAGGCAACCGGCCCATCTGCAAGGAAGAAGATGAGGCCGCTGGTGCTCTTCCGATCGTTGACATCTCCGGCAAGATCACTGTCAGAGTAGCCTAGCAGCTTGGGAACTCCTTCATTTCTTCTTCCTGTACGATAGTGCAGCCCCCAATGCACTGTCCCTGCTGCAAAGTCAAAGAAGAGTAGGTGGATGATGACATATGGCATTTCTCACTTCAAAAATAAAAATTAGAGTTTCACTTTCACTTCAGCCCCCTTATTTTGTCCAAAAAAAAAGAGATTTGATTGCTTGTGTTACCAGTACGTTCAGGTACTGTACTCATCAGAGGCTAAACTGAAAATATATATATATTTTTATCTCAATCTCGATGCCAGGTTAGTGAAGACAGGGGCTCTCGATGTGCCTAAGGTTGTCCATGGCCGCCAAGGATGGCGTCTGATCACCTGCATGTGGCCGGTTTAATTTGTCACAGACGGTGATGTCCTCCTCTGAAACTCACAGACAGTGATTGATGAAGCATATAAGACATTGTGCAAAGCAAGCAATGCAATTGCTTTGGCCGGTTTAATTTGTCAACCAACCCAAAATGTGAAGGAAATGTAGGGCGTCTCTCATTGGATCCATGCTCTCTGAACTCATAACAAACTGGTCACTCTACGCAAACAAGGTACACATGTACATGCATTATATTTCCCTGCTATCCTATCCTTCAACCTTCATCAGCAGATTAATCTTCGTCCTCTGTTCCAAAAGATCTGTGCAATTACATTCATAAATAAACAGTGCAGTCATTGTGCTACGATTCTTGGTTCAGGTGGCGGCGCTGCTAACGCTGGTGCTGGTGATCGTGGTGAACCTGGCGCTGGGGCTCCTCCCCCGGGTGGACAACTTCGCCCACATCGGCGGCCTCATCTCGGGCTTCCTCCTCGGCTTCGTCTTCTTCATCCGCCCGCAGTTCGCCTGGCTCACCCAGCAGGGACGGGTATCAGCAGTTGCCGCGCAGCCTGGCGGGCAACCAACGGCGGCTGCAGCTCCTCCGGTACCGGTTCCGGTGAAGCGCAAGCACAAGACGTACCAGTACGTGCTGTGGCTGGCCGCCGCCGTGCTGCTCGTCGTCGGGTTCACGGTGGCCACCGTGCTGCTGTTCAGAGGGTACAATGCGAACGAGCACTGCCCGTGGTGCCACTACCTCAGCTGCGTGCCGACCACGAGGTGGAGGTGCGACGCGTCGCCGACCACGTGCACGGGTATGCAGCAGGAGAACACGCTGACCGTTGTCTGCGCCGGCGGCAAGAACCAGACGTACGTCGTCGCGTCGTCCGCGGATGCCACGCAGGACAGGATCAACGACCTCTGCAACCAGCTCTGCACCTAGCTAGTCAACTGGATGCCTGTCGTTCCCTATTCTTTTGTACACGAAGGAAGGAATAGATAGATCATAGATGCTCCATTTTTACTCACTGTCAGAGTCAGAGTGAGATGATGAACAACGTACACTTCCAAAACAGATTGTTGAGATTATTTTACAGCTGTTGAGATCTTTTTTTTTTGTTAGAGCATCATCTACAGTCGCACGGAAGTAGTCTAGCCACGTAATGCAACCAAAGGGATGGATCCGTTTATGGTACGTAAAAAGCAATGTGGGTCCCACATGAAAAGTAAAAAACAGATCACGCACTGAAGCAAAAAAAAAAAAAAAAAAGAACAGCTCCTTTTCTGCCTCTTTCGTGACCGTGAGGCTGCCGCGCATCCCCGGCCGAGCGGAGATTCCCGCGCCGCCGCCTCCAACGACGCCACCTCGGCCACAAAGCTCCGCGCCGCCCCAGCCCCGGCCTCGCCCATGGGCCATGGCTGCCACCGCCACATCCACGGTCATCACCACCTCGGCCACCGAGCTCCATGGCACCGCCGGCACCTCCACGGCCTACTTCGTGGCCACCACACCAAGCCGGTGATCGGAGATCTGCCTCGTTGGGCCGCGCCCGGGAGGTCGGAATCTGCCTCCGCCTTCCAAGAGCAGCAACCAGCAGGTGCAAATCCATTTTTTAATGCACCAGGAGTCGACTCCAAGTCTTGCATCGGTTCTTCCCTTTGTTTCCTCAATGCATCGCCTCCTGTCCTGCAGTGGTTGATTCGACTCATTCTTGTGATGCATCGGTTTCAATTCTCAACGGGTTTTGAGTGGGCATGAAGGAAGGAACAGATGCATTGCTTTTGCTTTTTGCTTTGTTTCTGTATGTACATAAGGGAAAGCATCGGTTCTTCCCTTTCTTTCCTCAATGCATCGCCTCCTGTCCTGCAGTGGTTGATTCGACTCATTCTTGTGATGCATCGGTTTCAATTCTCAACGGGAACAGATAAAGGTTCTTTGAGTGGGCATGAAGGAAGGAACAGATGCATTGCTTTTGCTTTTTGCTTTGTTTCTGTATGTGCATAAGGTACTGGAGCTTTTCAACTGTCAGAGTGAGATGGAGAAACATACAGCTCGAAATGAAAACAGGATGCGAGCTATTATTATTTATGCAGCACCACCGTTTCAGTCTTCACCCTTCAGGGTGCCTTCCTTGTACAACTGATGTCGACCAAATCCCCACCTGGTATATTTATTTGATTTCCATGAGACAGAAAGAGAGATAGAAAGACAAAGAATTTATTCGATTTTCAGCCTCAGCCTTCATGAGAGGGAAATATAAAGACATATTGAGACAGGGAAAGAATTCATTCGATTTCCAGCCGTAATGGTGCCGTATTAGTTAGTACTATGCGTTATTTTATTAGATAGAATGCAGCAACCAAAGATGCCCTGCTGTGCTGACGGGCAAAGCTAGGAAGTCGATGCACCAGCCCCACTCTGTTTCCCTCCAAAGCCACCATCACTCTGTTTTCCTCCAAAGCCACCATTCTCTTCTGTCTTCTCCACGCCGCCACGCCATTGTGTTTCCATCCCCTGCGCGCGCTCTCCTCTCCCACTGAGCGCGCGTTCTCAATCCAGAGCTCTGCTGAGTGCTCCAATGGCAGAACTAGCGGTCAGCCTGGTGGTTGGGCCGCTGGTGTCCCTGCTGAAGGACAAGGTGTCCAGCTCTCTCCTGGACCGGTACAACGTGATGGAGGGCATGGAGAAGCAGCGCAAGATCCTCGAGCGCAACCTGCCTGCCATCCTCGACGTCATTGCCGATGCCGAGAAGCAGGCGTCTCGCCGACGAGGAGTAAAGGCATGGCTTGAGGCGCTCAAGAAGGTGGCATATGAGGCGAACGACGTCTTCGACGAGTTCGAGTATGAGGCACTCTGCCGTCGAGCCAAGAAGGATGGGCACATCACCAAGCTCGGCATGGCTGGAGTAAAACTCTTCCTTACTCACAACCGGGTTGCGTTCCGTTGCAGGATGGGAAACAAGCTTAGTGGCATTGTTGAGGCCATCAAGGACCTTGTGGAGGAAATGAACGTTTTTGGATTCGACAAGTTTCAGCTCGAGGCACCAGCATGGAACAGGTGGCGTGAGATGGATTCCGTTATCGTTGATCCTGAAAACATTGTTAGTAGATCTAGAGAAAAGGAGAGGAAGAAAATTATTGAGATATTGCTCAGCCATCAAGCTAGCAGTGGTGATCTCTTAGTTCTTCCCATCGTTGGAATGGGAGGATTGGGCAAGACCACCCTCGCTCAACTCATCTACAACGACCCTCAGGTCAAGGAGCATTTCCAGCTACTAAATTGGGTATGTGTCTCAGATGATTTCGATGTCCGTAATCTTGCCATCAAGATATGTGATTGTGATCCTTCGAAGACAACCCTTGAGACGGCACTCAACAAGCTTCAGGAACATCTTAGGGGAAAGAGGTATTATTGCTAGAGCTTATTATTGCTAACTCAACTGTCACCTTCTATCATGCTTTTATGTTTTATTTATTCTTGCTGAACACTCGGTACGTCATGTCATGTATTGTGTACCCCTATGTAATATTTAGATAACATGAGTTTGTGCGTGGTCACATGTATTGTGTACCCCTATGTATTGTGTACGTCATGTCATGTATCTCAGTCATGTTTTTTTTGGCATAGTCACATGTAAGAAATATTTACTACTGTGTTCTACCACTATGCAATCCCATAAAAGTACAGCATGGTTCCAAAATGGAAGCTTGAATTATTGACCAAGAACATTATACATCCAAACATGGCATTAGCTCTAACAAATCTTTTTCTAGAGGTCTGCAGTCTATATAACAACTTCCATTGCAACATAGGCTCTATGCTTGATTTAGGGCCATGCACAAAGAAAGGTACTAACAGAAAAAATGTTCCTAATAGGTATCTTCTTGTATTGGATGACGTATGGAATAAGGATGTTGACAAATGGGGAAAGTTGAAGGCATGTCTTAATCAAGACGGTGTCGGTAGTGCCATATTGACGACGACTCGTGATAAAGAAATAGCTGAATTCATGGGTACAGTAGCTAACAACTCATCATGGAAAAATAAATACCATGATGTGGCAATTTTGGACATAGAATTCATACATGAAATTATTGAAACAAGAGCTTTCGGTTTGCAGAAGACTAAGCCAGAGAAGCTAGTTAAGTTGGTTGGCCCGATTGCAGAGAGATGTGTTGGATCTCCATTTGCAGCCAAAGCATTGGGGTCTGTATTGTGTAACAAGACCACTAAGGAAGAATGGGAGGACATATTACATCGAAGCAGGATATGCGATGACGAGACCGGGATTTTACCTATACTCAGGCTCAGCTATAATGACTTGCCAACTGACATGAAGCAATGCTTGGCCTTTTGTGCTATGTATCCAAAGGATTATCAAATTGATGTTGAAGAGCTTATCCAACTATGGATGGCCAATGGTTATATCTCAGATCAAAACAAGGTACCTGCTGAAACCATGGGTAAACGGATTGTCAATGAGATGGTTTCAAGGTCATTCTTCCACATCTTTTGTGAAGATCCATGACCTCATGCATGATGTTGTGCTATCTGCTTCAGAAAAGGAGTGTGTTTGTATAACTGATGAATTCTTTCGAAGGGGTGACTTGCTTCCTGGTGCTGCCCGCCATATACTTTTTGAAACAAGCCTGGACAAAAAGAGATTAAATTTTTTATTTGGTACTACGAAGGAAAAGTTTCCACCTATACAAACAATGATGTTTGATAGATTTTATCACTGTGAAGATCTGCTGCATTTATCTAAATATAGTTCTCTCCGAGCACTTTCTATGCCAGAATCATGGGCTCATTTGTCAATAAAACCAAAGCACTTGTGCCGCCTTAGGTACCTTGATCTCTCATATCATGATGGCATCGAAGCACTTCCAGATGATATAAGCATCCTATATAGTCTCCAGACACTAAAACTTTCTAACTGCAGCAGTCTCAAAAGACTTCCTGAGCAAATGAAGCACATGAGTAGCCTTCGTCATCTCTACACAGATTGGTGCACGAAGCTGGAGTGCATGCCTCCAGAGCTTGGACGAATCACCAAGCTTCGAACAATTACATGGTTTGTAGTGGGAAGTGGCTTGAATTGTAGCAGTCTTGGAGAGCTAAAGGATTTAAATATTGGTGGTTCATTAATGCTAAAGCAGCTCGAAAATGTGACAGTGAGAAGAAATGCAAAAGCAGCTAACCTTGAGAATAAGAAGGATCTGAGACAACTGTCACTAGAGTGGACAAGTGGTAAGGAGGATGAACAACAATGTCATGAGGTGCTACAGAGTCTCGAAGCTCATGATGGACTGCTGGCTCTAGAAATATATTCCTACCAAGGCACCAGTTTCCCATCATGGATGGGTATGTTGAAAAACATGGTTGAGCTTCGGTTATCTAATTGTAGTAAAGCGGATCAGCTTCCTGAATTGGAACAGCTAGCAGAACTACAAGTCCTTTATTTGGAAGGATTGGGAAAATTGCAATTCCTGTGTAGCAGCTGTACATCCTCCACATTTGGAAAGCTTAAGGGTCTTAAGCTAGTTAATCTTCAGGTTTTTGATAGATTTTGGGAGGCAACACATGGAGGCACCGTAGCATTTCCTCAGCTTGAGATATTGCACATTGAAGGCTGTAAAAATTTGGCAGCATTACCAGAAGCATCGGTGCTTAGAGAACCGTATGGTGGTGGAGATTACACAGTGGCCCGGTCCGCCTTTCCAGAACTGAAGAAGCTCATACTGGAAGATTTAAATAGCTTTGAGAGATGGGAGTCTGCCCTTGAAATTGAAGAAGAACATGCACTGTTCCCTTTGCTTGAGTTTGTTGTTATCGAGAAATGCCCAAAGTTGACAACTCTGCCTAGGGCACCAAAGGTCAAAGAACTAGTTTTGAGGGAAGCAAATCAACAGATTTCTCTAGGAGGAATCAGATATATGACGTCAGTGTCTAGTTTGTCTTTGAAGGGCGTCAAGCTGGATGATAAGGAGGAATGGAACCATCCGTCGTCTGTGGTAGATATGGAACTATTGAGCTGCAGTTTGTTCTTCCAACCACGTGCAGCTGCAGGATCTGACAATTGATAGCTCCGATGAGCTTGTGTACTGGCCGGAGAAAGTATTCCAAAGCTTGATTTCCTTGCGGACGCTACGGATTCAGAACTGCAATAATCTAATTGGATACGCAGCGGCAAATGCTCCTGACCAGGAAACATCAGGAAGGAGCCGACTTTTGCCCCATCTAGAGTCTCTGGACATATATTTGTGTGGAAGTCTGGTAGAGGTCTTCAACTCCCCTGCTCTCAAGGCGATGGAAGTTTACAGCTGTGGTAAGCTAGAGTCCCTATACGGCAGGCAACAGTTGAATCAAGAGGCTAGTAGTACCCATGACGTGGCAGCATCCACACCTGTTGAGGAGAAGCTGTCACCATGGGCGGACCCGGATAAGCTCCTTCCATCATCTTTAGAATCTCTAACAATACGGAGCTGTGACGGGTTGTTAGAGGTTGCCAATCTTCCCTCGTCCCTCAGGGAAATAAATATTGGAAGTTGCCCCAAACTACGGTTCATATCAGGCCAGCTGGATGCACTCAAAGAGCTGGATATTTACAACTGCCAAGAGTTGCGATCACTAGAATCATTATGCATCATAGATCTCTCAGCACTGGAAGTCCTCTGGCTGTGTTTTTGCACAAGCCTGCCATCCTTGCCCAGTGGGCCAGAACCACAAGAATACTCATGTCTTCGTCGGCTTAGAATTAGGTGGTGCCCAGGTATAAAATCGCTCCCTTCGGCTCTGCAGCAGCGACTGGACAGCGACCTCGAGTATATGGATCTAGATTCTCATCTTGAAGGTACGCACCAATCTTTCCCGTATGGTACATGCATAAATCTCGTGTTTGCATGCCGGCCCTGTCCATTTTTTGTTTGGTGGACACGCCGCCGTATATACATGTTTGCCCTGTCATTTGAAATCTCAGCGCTTACTACGTGCTAATTTTGACCGAATTAGAAGTTATATATATGTATTTTTGAAATCTTATTGGATTTCGACGATTCTTTGACATATATATATCGTGCTTGTATTCTCCATGGCTGCCTGGACATCTCTACCTCTCTGTTGCTCGCTTTATCCTTTGAGCATTTTTTCCTAGAGTTTTCATATACGCATGGACTCTCTGTTCCCACTTCCCACACCATGAGTTGAATTGTGTGTTTAGATTTGAACCAAATGTATACAGGCTGTTGATAACTTTAAAGCAGAGTTACGACCGAATTAGCATATGTTAAAAGCTTTAATTGATGAGTTTTTCTTTTAATTAACAGATCGCTCTCCGCGGCTGCTTGGTGGGCGTCTCTGCTCCTGGCTTTAATTTCTCCGCGACTTGGTCGGTCTTGGGTGAAGAGTGAAGGCCACACCCCAAATGCCGCCTTCTCCACTGACTGACATTCAATGGAGGAGGCGGAGGAGGAGGAGCAACAGCAGCAACTCGTCACCGTCACCAGCGATGAATCCAGCAGAAAGAAGAAGGACGTACACGCCCAAGCTGAAACTTCCCTCATCTGCAACTGCAATGCAAGGGTAAAAAGCAAGAACGCGACACCATGAGTACATCATAGCATAGGAGAACGAAGCGACCCAGAGCAACGGTCTGCTCTGCAGGAGGCGACATCCATGAGATCATAGATTATTATATGCGTTGGCTATTCTTTGTGAGTCAAGGAATTACTGTTACTATTATAATCGGAGTTCATGAAGCAGGAGGAGATTTATTTATGAAGCGCCGTTTATTTATAACCAGTTTCATTGGTGCCTTTATTATTGGTTTTATTATATATACACAGCTCATGATAAGCTAAGCACATGCATCTCTGTGATGTAGTCGCGGCAAATATGCATGCTTTGGTGAGGAGTTTGGATTGGTGGTTTCTCTTGCTATGCTGCTGAATGAAAAAGCTGTGTAGGATGCTTTTGCGCATGCATGTGGACTCAAAACACTACCGGAGGTGGCTTCTTTGCCGAGTGCCTCAGTCACTCGGCAAAGGCCGATATACACTCGGCAAAGGGCGTTCGGTAAACAGTTTATCTGTAAATATCTCTTTGCCGAGTGCACTTTATCGGGCACTCGGCAAAGTCTTTGCCGAGTGCTAATCTGACACTCGGCAAAGAAAAGTCGTCGTGACGGCGGCTTTACCGAGTGTCAAGGTCAAGCACTCGACAAAGGTCGCCTCTTTGCCGAGCGCTGTTGACGTAGACACTCGGCAAAGGTGTCCACTGTGCCGAGTGCCACCGTCAACACACTCGGCAAACAGGCGACCTTTGCCGAGTGCCTGGCCCGTGGCACTCGGCAAATCTGTGATGTTTGCCGAGTGCAATGGCCTTTGCACTCGGCAAAGCATGTTCCTAGGCATGTTCTCAGGTTGTCACTTTGCCAAGTGTCATGGCCATTGCACTCGGCAAAGTGACTGAAAATAGCCTTTTTTATTTGTTTTTTACATTCCATCCAAACAAACAGAAGATATATATAACAAACATCACCAACATCACATATACATCATCAACAACACATATATATATCACCAACACCACATATATATCACAAACGTCACATGTCTCACAATATATCACAAATAAGTTCACAAGTAATCCAAGTGCTCCATCATCTACAACCACAATTGTAAATAGAAGTACCATTAACAACCACAAGTATCATCACTTAGCTTACTCATCCTACCGCTCACCATCTTTGTTCAATCACCTGCAATTAAAAAGAGTAAACCAATATGCACAGATAAATAAGAAATACTTAGAAAGAGATGCAAAATAAACAAAACATAATTACAAAATAACATAGTATTACATGTATTAGAAATAATCTTTATGATCGGGATTAGCTGGATCATAAGTCTCATCATCACTATCAATCATGTCGAAATAATCAACACTATCCGAATGAGCAATGTTGCCATTGTCATTGTCTAAATGTAATCGCTCAAGCATTTATAAGTCCTTCACATTTTACACCTCATCTCCAGCGTCCTCTTCAATAACCGTTTCATTGTCTACTTCTATTCCGATCGCTTCGGTTAAGTCTATCTCAAACTTCCCTTCTAATCCCTCTTCTTGAAAGAACTCTCCGTCATATATGTTTGGGTCTAAGTTGTAATCTTCATCGTTTGGGACAGGCACTTTACCATGTGGCGATACCCTGTGCACAATATCACAACCCTTAAGATGACTTTTGGTTTGACACGCATATGGGAGATAATAAACTTGCATGGCCTGTTGGGCCACAATATAGACATCGTCTCCTGATAAGACGGAATCCTATCGAATTTCGACTAGGCCAAGATTAGAATATGTCCGTCTCGTTACTTCAGGATCAAACCAATGGCATTTGAATATGACGGGATTAAAATGTTTGGAACCATAAAACTTGAGTTTGTATATTTCTTCAATTCTTCCATAATACTCGACCTCATCAACGCCGGGCGTAAAAACTCTGGAACTTGTGGTTCTTCGATTGGGCCGACTCTGCTCGTAGCTTGTTGTGCGAAAGCGATATCCATTCACGTCATAACCGGAAAATAACCTGACCCTATAGGCAAAGCCATCGGCAACCTGTCTCAACTCGGCATGCATAGACGCATCCCTCTAGCCCTGTAAGCTCAAGCAGGATACATCATTATATTATTCGCACGTACGAGTAATTTGGAATGTCAAACTAAGTACGAGCTAAATTTGACGTTACCTTCCGTTTGAACCAAGAAATGAAATCGGGCATTCCATTTCCCGCACCATGTCTAAGAAGGGTATCTACCTGCTGCGGGGTAGGATCCCTTGATTGACGCTAGAATTCATGAAGAAATTCCCTGTACCAACGAGAAATAAGGGGGTTGGATGCAGAATACCGACGACGTATTTAACAAGTTTGTTGAGAACTTACTGCATGTACGGCGCCACTTCGTCAAGGTTGGTCAACACATATAGCATGATATGGCGCCACTCTTCATGATTCAAGGTCTTGGGGGTCGATGCACTTGCGCTTCTGAGTTGCCCTCGGAAAAGGCTGAGGTTTGAATCATTTTCGCCAGCATTGTAACGAGTGGGTGGATTATGCACGCTAGGGAGGTTGTCACCATAGTATGTTGTTGTGAAGTTCGCCACCTCCTCCAGAATGTATGCATCTGCAATGGAAGCCTCGATTTTGCATTTATTTCTACATTTCTTTCGAAGAACCTTTGGACATCTCTCGATTGGATAGCACCAACGGCCCTGCACAGCCCCCCCCCATTCGTGCCTCATACGGGAGGTGCAAAATCAAATGCTGCATCGGATTGAAAGAAGCCGGGTGGAAAGATCTTCTCCAACTTACATAGCAACGCAGGTGCCATTCTTTCCAAGTCAGCAATCACGATCCGAGATAACTCCTTGGCATAAAGCTGGCGAAAGAAATAGCTCAACTCTACCAGGACTAGCCAGACATGCTCAGGGACATAGCCTTGAACCATCGTTGGAAGAAGCTGCTCAATCCATATGTGGTAGTCATGACTCTTCATCCCTAAGACTCGCATAGTTGATAAGTTCACTCCCCTCCTCAGATTAGCTGCATACCCATCAGGGAACATTAACGTCTGGATCTATTTTAGTACTTCCCTCCTTTAGGGCTTGCTCAAGACAAAATCGGCCTTAGGCCTTCTCCATGTCTTGTCGTGACTAGGAGGCTTCATATGTTGGTTTGGTCTATCGCATAACGTTGCCAGATCCACTCTAGCCTTAACATTGTCCTTTGACTTGTCAGGAATGTCCATGATTGTTGCCCAAAGTGCCTCGGCAAAATTCTTTTCAGTGTGCATTACATCAATATTGTGTGGAAGGAGAAGGCCATCAAAATAGGGGAGCCGAGTCAAGCCTGACTTATGAGTCCACATATGTTGCTCTCCATATCCCACAAAACCACCTTCTGGATTGACCACGAGACCATCTATCTATTCACGAACCACGGCACCAGTCATTATCGGTGGTGCAGGGTCTGTCACTACGACACCTTTCGTAAAGTTCTTGATGTCTCGTCTGAATGCATGGTCAAGAGAGAGGAATTGCCGATGTTTGTCGAACGATGAATACTTGCCACCCTTCTGCAACCAAATGAACCTCAGACCTTCCTTGCATACTGGGCATGGAAACTTCCCGTGAACACACCAATTGTAGAATATCCCATACGCCAGGAAGTCATGCAGGGAGTAGTGGTACCAAACATGTATTTTAAAGTTTTTCTTTGTAGCTCGGTCGTATGTCCATACCCCTTCCTCCCAAGCACGGACCAATTCACCAATCACAGGCTCCATGAACACACCCATATTATTCCCTGGGTGTCCAGAAATTATCAACGATAAGAATACGTTCTATCGTTGAAAACATATGCCAGGGGGAGATTGAGGGGGATAACGAACATGGGCCAACATGTGTATGGGGCAGCCATCATTCCATAAGGATTGAACCCATCAGTTGCCAGCGCAACACGTACATTACGAGCCTCTTTAGCTTTCTCATGATGAATGCCATCAAAGTGGGTCCATGCTTCACCATCGGATGCATGTACCATCCTGTTAGGATTGTATCGTTTGCCATTTTTGTGCCATGTCATCTGTTTCGCGGATTCCTCGGTCATGTATAGCCATTGGATCCTCGGTATGAATGGAAGGTGCCATAGGATTGTTACGGGAATGTCAAGCTGCCTCTTCTAGCCATCACCAGAATCTATACCTTCAAGAACCTAGAGGATTTACACTTTGGACAGTACTTTGCTTCCACGTATTCTTTCCTAAATAGGACGCACCCCTTTGGGCAAGCATGTATCTACTCATACGACATCTTAAGTGCACAAAGGAGTTTCTGTGACTCGTGCATGCTCTTTGGCAGAAGGTGACCCTCCAGAAGCAACCTGCCAATAACTGTCAACATACCATCGAAGGCGTCTCGACTCAGGCTATCCTGGGACTTTAACGCCATTATGCGTCCAATGGCATCCAGTTGAGAAACGTTTGTCTGGCCGTGAAGGGGTTTCTATGCCGCAGCAAACATGTCGTAGAACGCCTTTGCGGTTGCCTCTGGCTCCTCCTCCGTACATCCTTCAGCGAACTATGCCTCGTGATAGTCATTTAACATGTCTGCTACCCCGGCATCAGCATCATAATCCTCGACGCATGGTCTCACCACCTCCTCTCTCATATGATCGGCTTCACCATGGTAGACCCACTGGGTATAATCTGCCATAAATCCATTCTTCCAAAGATGTTTCCCCATGACCTTCTTCGTTTGTCTTTTCTTGTTTGCACATTTGCTGTAGGGACAGCAAATTTTACTCGCTCC